ACTTTTTCTTTGTTATCCGAGGAGCGGCGGTCATTTATTTTTAATCAGACTTACTTTGTGTGTCCTTGTGCACGGCTATTAATCACATTTCTATCTAAGGGCTCATAAATCACCCAGCTGAGCAGATTCTATCGGCCCGCCTGGGACGTAGTCAAAAAGAAGCGTAATCTCCAAGGAGATCTATTTCGTGGCTGCAAGACATTCTCAAATTGGCAAGCAAGGCAGCGATACGCCACTCAAAGTCAGGCTGGCGAAAAAAAGAAACCAGTACAAAAAAAGGAAGCCCGACAATAGTGTCCATACACGTCAAGAATTAGCCGAAGCATATACCTCTGCTTGGAGAGTAAGAAAAAATAGAAAACGCCATATCTCTTGCTCTTGTTACTTGTTCCGAATTGTTTATGTTCTTGTTGTGAGGGCTAGCCCTTTATAATAGCCTCCGCCTAGTTGGGCAGTCCTGGCTGTATACATATGTCTTATGCAGTCTAATAAATCAAATAAAAAATCTCTTTCTCATTTTGGTACGCACGTATGGGAGATAGAGGATGTTGCTATATCTCCCCTGGCTTCCCACAGACAGTGAACTCCCTACTGTAGTTGTTATCTGTTTTATATCTGTCTGACCTAACACTGCCTGTCAGGATAAAGACGTGGTACATACTTCGCGCTTGGGAACTTGATGTGTTGTACGATTAAATTGCTGTCTTCCCGGAGATAAATGTATACTATTATTTGTACGCACCATACACAACCGTTCCGCCACACGCTATTAGGCCTCTGCTATCTGGAAATGGCTATGGCGGAGACCTTGACTACACAACAAGATTGGATACGAGGGGAGAATACTAATGAGAACAAACTCATGGACTTCAAGTCAGACATACGGAAAATTCTGTCCGTTTTTTTTCTGACCCCGACGTTCCATTTTGTAGTTGCACTTTAGTGCATGGATTTTTTTGTTACTTGGAAAGTTTACTTTCAGTATAGTGAGTAACTCTACTACGGAAGGAGTTTCTGCTTTTCGAATTCCTGCTATACTTAACAACACGGACTGAAATTACCATTATATTAGTTATATCTGAGCCAGACAATAGCTGTTGTGATAGATGGTTTTCGTGTTTACTTGGGTTTCAGTTCTTTCTCTTTTTCTTTCATACTGCTTAGCCCAAAAGGAATTGGATTATTAGCAGCTGCACATGTGTTTGTTACAAAAACAAGTGACCGATACAAATAAACAAAGGGAAATGAAGGTAAGTGCACTAAGAAACATAGGTAACTGATTCTGCGATTGCAAAACACGAGTTAATTTAGGGTTAGCAATATCTACACATATACAAGACGTGTAGGGGTGACTCACTGCAGCAGGGTCCTCTCCAGTCCAGTTTTTAACTGAGCTTTTGACTTTCAAATTCAATGACCACGATCACAAAGACACACCAGCTCTAGCATTCTCTCAGTGACGTTACGCAGATCGACGTGTTGTTTGATCTATTCGTTTCTACGCAAACTGCTGTCGAAGCTTCTGTTGCAATATTCACCACATTTTTCACCGTCTTACATCTTCCCAATTAAGCCTCGGGGCCACCAGTCGCCGGCGTCGTCTCTTCCGGCCTTGGAGGCAGTTTCCATCCATCAATTAATTAGAGGTTTTGATTTTCTAAAAAAAAAACTTTTCTGTCGGCGAACTTTTTTTTATTTTCATTCCAACAATTCATGACAACATATGGTGACGGTTCACTCAATTTTTTTCAACTTATTTTATGCCGCCACCAACGCAGAGGGCAAGTACAGGACAGGACAATACTCATTTTCACCTGAGTTAAGTGAGGAAAGTCATGTAAAGTGCGTTTCGCAATGGCACAAGATCGGCGGCATGTCAGGACTCGAACCCGGGACCGCTTGGTTCTGATTAGAGCACTCTGCAGTTACGCCACACGACCACACTTTCTTCGCACTTGTGGTTCTGTTTTTGGAGAAGCTGAGCTGAATCAATGAAGCGACACCATCTGAGTGATCATGGTGATGTGCACGTACTCAACATTCTCCATCCCACCATTATGGGCTTGCGTCACCCGACAGGCTGAGTGCTCTTGGGGCCAATCTTTGCAGAGCATAAATCCTACGTAGTGCGTGAACCGTAAGAGTGCTGTAGACGGTCCACATACTGAGTGAGTGTTGGCATATCTGATGATCTGGACTAGACCTCAATCAGCTACACTCGACACATTCATGATCATATGTTGTGCAATAGTTGCAACCAAACCGGAACTGGCTATTTTGACGTCTACCTTTTGCAGATGGTACAGCATTTTTATAAAGATATGTTCTGCTTGGCATCAATGCATTCACCAAATGAATTGTCCTTCGTCATACATTTATGTATGAGATGCCTTTACAAATATATATCGCATGGACTTAGCACTAGCGTCGGATATACAATATCACAGCGAAATTATAGATAGATCTGATTCACAGGAAAATAGGGATTGTAAGATTATGGCAGGATATGTGCTATTCACAGTTAGCGAGGCAGGGGATTGTATTCAGTATTTCCGCTCTAAGGCCACAACAAGTACATTTTATGGATGACATCCTCCGCAGACTCCAAATCTGATGCGAGCGGGCGAAAAAAAACAAGGCGGGACGAAAAAAACAAGGTTCCTACAATTTAAAATTTTGACTCAATCATTGTACAAATGGTTTTAATTCATTGGGAACATCACATATACACAGCTACACCACTACATCAAAGTAAGAAACAAAACATTAAATCAGAGTCTTTTCTTAAGCTTATCTCCTCTCTTCATTCATAGTTATCTGCCATCCAACTTTCGGCATGGCAACAGACATCTTTCCCCATTTTCGGCATCATGTTGACCACCGTCAGAAGGCAACAAAATTTCATGTTTTTTTTTTTCCAAAATCAGGTGAAAATCAATGCGCGCGCGGATGTCATCCATAAAAATTACTTGCTGTGGCCTAAGCGTTGACAGAATTTCCTCAGATGACAGAACAGTAATATATGTGGCAAAGGTCTGTGGCTCCCAGGTCTCGAGGAATATTCTAATCTATACGTTAATACCGTCCTTTTAGTAACCCGCAACCTTTGAGTTTCAAAGGTTACGCCTTCAATATCTTGCGTAGCGCTCCAGGGTCCTGACCGAATAGCTTTGTCTAATACTAGTGTTAGCGATGAGGATATCCGCTATGATATATAATCCGGAGACGCAGTAAACGAATAGGATAGGAAAATTGTCATTGTCATTGTTCCTAGGGTAAAACGCCAAAAAGTAAGCGTAAATGTTGCGTTTTAGTTCTCTAATACATTGTACTAGATTGAAAGATCCAAGCATATATTTATGTTTAGAAGGTGGGCGTTTTGCTATATATGAGTAAATTTGGTGGTTGGGCCGAGTTGACCAGGGCGGTGGGCCGAGTTGACCAGGGCGGTGGGCCGAGTTGACCAGGGCGGTGGGCCGAGTTGACCAGATTTGCGATGTTTGAGTTGTAATGGTTTGAGTCGTCCTGATTCACCCATTGCATGCGTGGTGGAGCAGTAGCATAGTGTGAACTCCAATTGTTCTATCCGTTCAATAAGTGCTTAACACAGACAATGCGTTACAGCGATTGCATACAGAATAATCCATTCATTCATATACATCTGATCCGAATAATATAACATGAGAAGTTTTTTGCGATGCTTGCAACTAGAAAGGTAACATCGCACATGGCCTGCTCTGTTAATTTTTACTCACACATTCAGTATATGGTCAGACAGGAGTATAAATCTCTCCTACTATAAAATTGCAACATGATGTAACCCAACATCTGTTACCATGGTGAGAGATGTCAACAAATCAGGTCACTGGCCAGGCCAGAGGTCAGTGTTTGGAACGGATGAAGAAGAAGAAACGTAGCAAAAACAATATTTTTCCTTCGGTAACCATAATAACGCATTAGACGTGTCCTTTTAGCCTGAGGGAAAAAAAGGACATTTGTTCACACACCAGAACGTAATAAACGTTATAATGTTCTCAGTGATAGCAATTGAGATCGAAATGTCACCTCTGTTTCATATATCAGCTGCTTCATCCTGCTGAGATGTTCTATAAATGGTCGTAAAAAGTACCTCATAAACCCACTTCTGTCGTTTTCCACATAATGGATGATTGGGAAGGAAGTAATGAAAATGAACCAAACACCGATAGCACAATTCTACAGTCTGCGCAATAATTACCTTCAATCACCAATTTACGTGATCTATATTCTAAATAAGGCAAAATTGTGATATTCACACAATACTGCTTCACATTAGCACATTTGAGTCAGCATTTCATACTTTGGGCTTTTACAACTGCAGAAACAAGCCCCAAGATGAGTGTTTTATCTTCTGGGAGGCAACCAAAAAATCAGCCGTGCCCTTCCAGTAACCATTTTCCGTCAGAATTTGGGGGATTTTTGCTCCAAGAGGGTCAATATGCATTGGGATAGTGTGGTTTCAACTCACAGTATGTAGATAAATGACTAGAATATTGACTTTGAAAAATCGGGTTTTCAAGCCCTAAAAACTGCACTGGATGCCTTTAAGAAAGAAAATCCAATCAGAAATATGTTACACTATTTTGGGCTATTGCACCGGTGCAATAGCTCAACTGGTAGAGTGCTCGCTTTGTAACAGGGAGGTCGTGAGTTCAACCCCCGGCCGGGTCATACCAAAGACTTTAAAAATGGTACACACTTCTTTCTCTGCTTAGCACTCAGCACATATGAGAAAGAGTGTGGGAAGGTCAAACACACAGCACTACCAGCGGACTAGTCCCCTGCTGTAGTGCATTGCACAACTGTGTGTCGCCCAAGGGCTACGAAATGGGGATGGGCGCCACCCTACGCTCGGGTAAGAGCACGGGAGACCTTTTATTTTGGGCCGGTCATGACTGTGCAAGAATGATCACACGTTTTCCACCAGATTGTAACCACGTAATTGCCTCTGTGTTCCCCAGGCGAATCGCAACTGCAGCAACCATTCCTTCCGCTGACCAGTCTCCTGCTTTCCTGTGATGGATCTGCAGGAAAACACCACTGCCAACACCACTGCCATGTCTCTCGCGGCCGACGAGCCCCGGCCAGAGTCCGTCATTGTACCCGCCATCTTTGCTTTCATCTTCTGCTTAGGAGTCTTCGGAAACGCCCTGGTAGGTTATATCTTCTTTCCTGATCAGCTTAACGGCGGGTGCAGCTTAATGGGTTAAGCCCCGGCCCACAAAACTCGCCATCGCATCTGCGAAAGATACGATTTTCGGATTTGTCCGCATCCAAAAAAGTCCGGATTCAGGGATCCGGAATTCCGGATGCGTAACAAATGCGAGCCGTATCTGCCTGTATTTGCCTGTATTTAGGATGTGGATGTGGCGAAATAACGGCCTGGATATGGGTGTATTTGTACCTATTTCGTCCAGTGGGCCCTGTCACAAATTCACGAACGTCCCGCGAATTCAAACTCTGACCAGATTTTGGCCACGCCTATCTTTGGTATATGACTCAAAACGAATTTGAGTTAAATTGGAGTGAAATTTGATTACTTAACACGCCACGAACACTGCTGACTTACGTATAGATGGTTGGCATGTGTTTTGCTGACATACGATCGAAAACTAGCCGACTATGATCGAACCTCCCGAACGCCCCACGAATGTTTTTTTTTTTACTTTTTGAAACATTCATGGAAACCGTTCAATAGTCCAAATTCGTGAATGTGTGACAGGGGCTTTACGTTTAACATCGCAAATGCGAGTTTACATCAGTCATGTAATAAAACTAGTTTTATATGAATGCCATGTGCTGAACAAACAATGGCTGTTGTATTTGTTCCAACACAACAGCATCAATGTTTGAGTGTGTTTTAAACAATTTATGCCATGATTGTTGTTTGCTGGTATACATGAGCCATGAACAACCTGTTGTCAACCTTTTTCCGTCCACAGGTCATAGCCGTTCTCCTCCGTACCGGGAAGGAGATGCAAAACACCACCAATGTCTTCATCCTCAACCTCAGCATCGCGGATCTCTTCTTCATCATCTTCTGCGTACCTTTCCAAGCCACGGTGTACTCTCTCCCAGAGTGGGTGTTCGGCCTGTTCATGTGCAAGTTTGTCCACTTCTGCCAGTGCACGACCATGCTGGCCTCCATCTTTAATCTTGTGGCCATGGCTATAGATCGCTACCTGGCCGTGGTTCACCCGGTCACTTCGATGGACATCCGCAAGCCTCAGTCCGCCTGGCTGGCCGAGCTGGTGGTGTGGATACTGGCCATGGGGACGGCGTCGCCGTACCTCGTCTACTACGACATCGTCAATCACGGCGCGAAAAGTGAGCAGGAGTTCTGCATCGAGGTCTGGGAGGAGATCGAGAACCAGCGACCCGTCTACATCGCGTTCCAGTTCACGTTCGGCTACGTGCTGCCCCTGATGATCATCACCATCTGCTACTGCCTGGTCATCAAGCGTCTCAACGCCACCTCCAAGAGAAGCCAGGCCAACCGCGCCAAGAAGAGGATCACGAAGATGTTGATCGTGGTGGTGGTGGTGTTCGGGATCTGCTGGCTGCCGCACCACATCATGCACCTGTGGGTCAACTTCGGAGAGTTCCCCTACACCATGACCACCTACGTGCTGAAGCTGTTCTCGCACTGCATGGCGTACGCTAACTCCTGCCTCAACCCCATCATCTATGCCTTTCTATCCACGGAATTCAGAAAGGCTGTTGGCGAGTTGGCGTGCCATAAGCGCGGGTAGGGTCGAGCGTGTTCGGCGCTTCCTGACGGACTCGTGCGAGCGACTTACAACCAGTACAAGACGACTCCTCCAGGCTTGTTGGGAGACGGTGGTTCTTATGGCCCGGCGTCTGAAGGCTAGGAACACCCAGACGAAGTTATCAAAATCTTCTTTGAACAGCAGGAAAAACATATAAACGTGGCTGCACCATCATACTAACACTACCAGTTATAAAGTATCCTGCCTGTCTATATAAACATCACATCGTTCTCTCACGAAAGATATTAACAGCTCTGGAATGATACCAGAGTCTAACAAAGGAACATAAACTAAACAATAAGACATTTGATAGCAGAACATTGCTGATCTAACCTCTACAAGTTGTCATCCACGTTGTATTTTGATCCATTCTAAACCACACTATAATCAAAATCTGTAAATACTGACAAAATCATAATGCCATTGTAAGTATAAATTAATAAAACGCATATAAAGCTATATATAGGTATTGATCAAACAAGAGTAAAGGTGGCTGCTACTTACTGGAGAAGAGGTAGTTTTGCATGCTTTGCAGCAGAGGAAAATTGTAAATACTACAAATCAATAATAAATCGACAAATCGACTGTCAGTCAAGCGGAGTCATGGAGCAGGTCTCTTGTGTTAAATATTAAAGAGTATCTTTTGACGGAGCTGAATACTGCAATATGTAGAATACTGTACTGCACTGTCTATGTCTATGTCTTGTAGAATTACTATTCCGTTGTACCGAAGACAACTTCCTGACATTAGAAGTTTCTTCAAAATCTATATTGTACATATAATGGCGTTCAAATATTTCTGGTGACAGAGAAGCACACTTGTTGCAAATTGGCAGGAAAGCTATAGAAAAGGAAGACCAAATGATGGAATAATCTAAAAAAAGGTATAAATAAAAAGGATGCGAAACGAAATTCAGACCTGAGCTGCAAATAGATTATCGGAATGACCACACTGATTTTGATAAGCAGGATTATTTGGTGTCTTGGTACTAGTACTATATTTCTAGCCCTTGTCCTGCGGAGCCCAACAATTGTTGTTCTGCACATACAGTACCCTCTATATAGCACCCTGTATAGGTACGATTTGGGGGTATTTCTCGTGCAACGCATCACACCGCAGCGAGACGCCACGAATGCGGAAGTTACAACTATGCCACCGCAGGGCAAAAACAATGAGGGTCTATGATCTAATTAAGACATGAAGTTATTGAAAAATGTTGTGCCAGGAATGCCAGCAGGACAAGGGCTAGGTACACAGGAGTTTCCTAGGCACCGTTGATAATGCAAAGACCTAGTAGGGAGAACATCTTTATAAAATTTAACACAACCATAGTCAATCATGACTTCGGATGAAAACACAGTGAGATCTATGACAAGGCGGATGGACACTGCAATGTGTGCAGATATTCAACCTGCAATATAGTCACTCTAACAATACATTATGACTGTGAAACATGGCATTGGTATGTGAAAGAAAATACATCTTTTCACCCAGAAAATTCCATATAGATGATACCAATAGAAATGCATGTTTGTCAGTGTTTTGGATATGATAATCAAGTTGAATGTTCGTTTACAGTATCCATTTTCTGTATCAGAAAATTCAAACATTAACTCCAAGGTAATATATACGTTAAGTGTTCAGATATGTAATGTGTGAAGCTGTAATGAACAGTTGTATTAGAGTATTGTTTCAGTATATTGCGCATCATATGTTGTCAAGTTTTGTCTGCCAAGTTGTGAACTTCCATCAGCACATCTCGCAGTATGACTAGCTCCTTGCACCGCAAGTGACGACAATGTGAAACAAATCACTAGATATTATATATACGAGCGTAGATATTACTGCACTTAAACGGAAATTAAAGTTAAGACGCAGAGTCTAACCGTTGTCAGTCTGACATTTCCTCTAAGATATGATAAGTAGTTTCTTCATGTCTGTAATTTTGCTTGACCTATTCCAGAGGCGCCTGCATGCATGCATAGCGACTCCCTGGTGGGTCCCAGGATAATTGAATCCGGTATCTTGGGCGATAGCGCGGGGCCTTGAGCGGCTTAACTTTGCGGAACCTGGAACGTCGTAAAATGGTCCGTTAATGTGGGTGGGTATGGCTGGCTGAAGCAGCACCTGAGCCGCCGATTTATCTCTTAAGAACGGCTACCCTACCGGATAGAACTTAGGAGATATTGCCAAGGGCCCGGTGGTAGGAGTGAGATGTAGGCAGCAAAATGTTTTCAATTACCCGTGTATCACGCTGGGTCCTGCGAGGATTGGTCGGGAGGATGAATAAATCATGCGGCGGCAATGTGGGAACGCTACGGTCGGTTGCAGACGTGCTAATCACGAGTACGTATCCCCGAGTGACAACGCAGACTGTTTGGGTAGGTTGGGCGTCGGTGGAGAGAGGAGAAAGAAAGGCAGCACACTGTGTGAGGTCATCCCAAGATACGAAGAAGAATGATGGATGTATGAGGTTTTAATGTTTTCTTGACGGAGCTCTGTCTAGACGTCTGACTACTGGAAAGCTTGGCGGGGGTGCCCTATGTCATTGCTTGATAATTGGTTGTGCAGTGAAGGAAACTTAAGGCCTATTCCTAGCAGATTAGGTAGTGAGGAAACTAGGACTGACAAATGTACCTGTGTATTAATGATTAATTATCATACAGCCAGAAGGCGCCGACCACTCCGAAGGCTCCATTCCCCTTTGTTAATAAGGCCGTAACCTCAAAATTGGTCGGTTATTAGAATAACCGACCACTTTTTGGACCGTACCATTATACAGGGCCACGCTCACTCGGTGGTTTATTCGGTGGTCATTTAACCTGACCAGGGATTGCAATTGTTTTACCATTTTACCATGCACCTCGGAGCGGGGCATTGACCGTTTAATAGCTTTTCACCTCAGTCACCTAAGAAACATCACGTATGCAATCTTCCCCAGTCTTATATGACTTGATTGTCTACTCTGAGGGCAAGCATTAAATAGCTTTCGCCACACTATCACATCGAGAGCAGTGGAAAACCGTGTATGTGAACGGGTGTTTGAGATTTTGTCGATATGTAATTATCAACATGACAGGTCCATTTCACGCCGCTGTTAGTTTTGGCTACTGTGAAAAGTGCCGAGGGAAAAGGGAAGCTAGCTCAGAAATTGTGAATCATGTCATCGGTTGAACTGCTAGCTCCGCTAAAACTCTGTTGAGCAAAGAAAATAAGGATTTGTTATACTGTAGATGGTAATGGAATGTTATTTCTTCAGAACTGAGGACCTAATAGAGGACATTATACACTTGTTAATGTCAATAACGGAATATTAATCTTGCTAGCTTCGCTCCGTGTAAACAGCCAGAGAACTAAGTTTCACCCATAAAGACACCCATATTAGGCAAGTTTTCGGCTTCCAGAAATCACCTCAAACTTTACTACGCGGGGATGATGTCTTAGTCATTACGGCGGTGTTCGCCTGGGCGATGCCAGGTAATTCTGATTTAATGAGGCATCTTACCTCGACCCAGCTGAGGCCAGGCTTCTCCGCCGGTTAGGCCGCAGCAAGTAAATTTTACGGATGACATCCTCCGCAGACTCCAAATCTAATGCGAGCGGGCGAAAAAAAACAAGTAAAACAAGGTTCCTACATTCTCAAATTTGGACAGTAAGAACATGACATATACACAGCCAGTATCACATATCATTGCATCAAAGTAAAAAACAAAACATTGAAGCAGAGTCTTTTCTTGTCTCCTGTCTTCATAGTTATCTGCCTCCCACCTTCCGGCAACATGGCAACAGACATCTTTGCCCATTTTCGGCATGGTGACCACTTTCAGGAGGCAACAAAATTTCTTGTTTTTTTTTCTTTCCAAAATCAGGCGAAAATTAATGCGCACGCTGACGTCATCCATAAAAATTACTTGTTGTGGCCTTAGTTAACATTACCGGCACGTCAGTCCGGATGTGGCGCGGGTTCCGCAGTGACATCCCGGTCACCCTTCTCCTTACAGGGTCCCGGGAAACGTCAGTCATCCGTCCGCGCTAACTCCCGCTGATTGCCTGCGTCTGTTTATGAAATGTCAGCACATGGCGGCCTCTAACACCCGGTATAACACCCCAACTGTAAATTAGGACCCAACATTCTAGGTTTAGAATACCAATTACGCCTGGCACATTACGCCTACATCAAGATTGATGCAGCGGTGGCGGCAGAATCGATAAGAAATAGCCGTGATCAGCTATCAGCGGTGCACCACCTTTTGATCCCCAAGTTTGGTCAAGGACGATTTTAAAATGATAGCCGTCAAACTTTCACGCCTGGTCGCCCAATATAAAGGTCTCTGCCTTCTCGCAATGGCTCATGGGATATGATTGTTGGGACATTTCACTCCTGGACCAACAAAATATATAGTACAAGCAAAATAATAACTATAGAAGCAGAACTCCAGTCAGAAGCTCTGCCTCACTATGTTATGTTGACACTATTTAGGTTACCAGATTGTGTTGACCCATGACCCCACTAGAGGTCACCCTGTGAGGTCACCCTTTGTCCGCCATTGTACGTTCTCTGCGAATGTTGCATTAAACGTCTGCTCCTACTTCGCAATCCGTTGCTAGCGTTGAGTCGTCAACCACGTGTCTCCTTAATGACACTGAGGAAGGTATCTGACAGACACCGAGACGTCAGCAAGGTAAATTTCTTGGTCGTGTAAAAGAAATATCCTGTATCCTATACTTTACCAACCCGATGAAACTATTTTCGGAAGTACACATGTATAATACCAGGATTACCTAACAAGAATTAGGAGATCTCATACCTCAATGAAATATTTCTCTGCCATTGGTTGATAAATCGGGTGAAACTATAGACTTATGTCCTCAACTAACCCTTCAGGGTGAAATCCATAACTCTCTTGTCTCCAATCTTCTTACACTTCCATAAGACTGAAAATGAAGAGATAGAAAAACCATGCTCGACAACGAGACTGATCTCTCATTATAAAATTGATCGATCTTGAGATGCACATGTTTTCTATCAACTCCTACGCTAGATCATGTTCTCTTCAAGATTTATTCCATATGGAATACAAGATTATCAGATTGCAAGTATATATGGAATTTAGGAATGTCATTACCAGCAATTGGAGATTGGGGCTGGTGGCGGATGACCTTGTAAGCTCACAGGTCTATTTTTCTTCCATGTCGTTCGCTGTTAGTAATAATGCCATTGGGACTCATGGTGAGATTTAGAACGACCAATTATACCATCGGTTGAAGGATAAAACGCTCGGAGAGATGTAGATGTATGGTACAACGTACGTTGGTGAAGGCTAGACATCCAGGTAATAAGATACGCCAAAAAAGCAGTTACTCAAGCAACTGGATACGATTTTGGAAAGTGACACTAAGAGACTGCAGGAGAATGGTAGGTTTGTAAGCACGAACTATTGATTGATATGCAAATAAGTGAGGGCAAATTTTTTTGAAAGTTTTTTTTCGACTAGTCTAACTTTTATTTCCCTTTGGACGTCCAAAAATTGTCTTCTCGTATGGTCCAACAACGTAGAAATAACTGAAGGAAAACAGTTAACATATACAACCATAGGAGGGCGAAATAAAGTTGTTGTCATAGGCTACGAACACAACGGTCTAGGATGACTAATATTTTTTTTTATTCCAACATGTAATTACCAGACGTGGTGACGACACACTCAAGTTTCTTCAACTTATATTATCAATCAATCAATCAATCAATCAAATGGTTTATTTGTAAAAACAAAACCTTGTAGCCATCAGCTAAATTGTGTCTTGCTGTACAATTTTGATTTTTGACATGTCTGGCATAACACACTAAAATTACTAGTTACTCAATAAAATCCATATCATTATACATTGACATACTTAAAAACAACAGATACAATTTTAACATTAAAACTAACAATTACAAACATATATTAAGTACTTACACAAAAATATACAAAATAACTGAGACTAGAGGACAGACTAACCACCCTAGAAATATGATACACATTATTTGGAGGAATTGTTCAATATGCGAACCAGGTATGGTACTGGAGAGTTCTTATATCTGTTGGTTCTGTACTTAGTAGTTTTTAGCTTTTCAGAGTTCCTTGTGCGTCTTCCTGAGAGTTCACCCACCTTAGGAGGTAGGAGATCAGGGTTCAGTTTTGTAGCAAATTTAAGACATAGGTCCTCTCTTCTGTCCTTCAATGACTTGAGTCCTGTCAACTGCAGGGCTGCGTCGTAGGAGCTGTATTGTCCTTTAAGGATTGTGCGCAGAGCTCTCT